GTTGGACATCAGAGAGAGCAAGTCGACTTTAAAGTAGTTCTTGAAGTTACTGGATCATTAGCGTCTTTTTTCTTAAGACATTTCACAAAACGGGAACTTCGGATGTATTTTGGGGATCTTGGCAGTCCATGCTCAGTGCCCATCCCAGAAGAGAAATGTCACAAGGGTAAAATGTCACCAATTTGTCTCTGCCGATTTAGGATGTTATAAACTCAGACCTGACCAAGGATCATGCTTGTTGGTGCCTTATCCATGGAGAAAGGGTTTGGTAAGCAAATTGATAAAGTTAATGAGAGTTTTCCATACTGCATTCTGAGATATTAATAAGTAATCCATGGAAAAGGATTTCATGGGCAAATAAGTTCAGAAGACCTTGTGCATCCACCCTGTGAGACCAGTGGTGAATATCTGCTTAGCAAAGGCCCCAGAGGGACCCCAGGAACCCAGGAACCCATCTGACCATTTACCCCAGGATCCCAAGAGCAGCTGGCAATGCAGCCATCCCTGAATCCCTCTTTTCTCCTTTTCAGAAAAATCATTTGCTCTAATCGGGAAAGTGTTGTTAAATAAAGCTGAATTTCTCTCTATAACCATCACGTGAAAATTGTTGAGCCATTAGAGCCTCAAAATAGAAGGGAGAGGAAGGAAGGAATGGAGGAGGCTGGGGTGGTGGTGGGGGAGAAGTGAGAAGGCCACTGCTTTTCCCTGGTGTCTTTTGTCAAGGACTTGGAGTGGCTTTCTCGTTCAAGGGCTGTGAACCCTTCCTCACAGTCCAGGGTGAGGACCCTCAGCCTTTCACTGTTCCTCTGCCCTGGAGGCCCTGACCCGTTTCCAGAGCCGAGTGTACAACCACACGGGTGAAATAAATACAGTCACCCAGCGGTTTTAAGCATTAATCACTTGCTTATATATTTATTAATCACGTATCATTCTGATCTTTCTATCAAAGGAAACTTCCTTTACCTGGAGATGTTTTATCAGCTACTGTTTATCCATATAAGATGCTTTATCCACTTAAGAGAAAAGGCGGCTTTCAGGAGGTGTGTTCATGATCCAGGCCTTCGCTTGTTCAGAGGGGTTTTGTAGGTTGCCTGGGGCCACCTTTGTCAAACTGGTTGTCTCCCACCATCTGCCTTTTCAGTAGCATTTTGGATCTTGATTGAGAATGTCTGAGGATTGTCAAGGTGCAATAACTCATATCCAACTTTCCTATAATATATTAATAACAATGAAAAACAGGATTTAATTTAGTCCTTGCAAATGTACCCAACTCTTGCTCAGGAAAAAGCTTTCTTGACAGTGATGTGTAAAGGTCTGTGTTTCCCAGTTTCACTTAGATACCACAGTTAAACTTCAAGCATCTTCGCTGTTTTCATCTCTCAGTAATGACTGGCAACTAAAACACAACGCTGTAAATCAATTATACTACAATAAAAAATGTTTTAAAAAGGAAATGGAATTCTGACAGATGCTAGAACATGCCTGAAACTTGAAGACACACTAACAGAAATAAGCAAACACAAAAGGACAAATAGTATATAACTCCATTTATACGAGGTCCCTAAAATAGGCAGATTCATAAAGACAAAATTGAAATAGTGGTTGCTGGGGCTGGAAGTGCAGGAGGAATGGGGACCTTTATTTAGTGGCTACAGAGTTTAAGAAGATGAAAAATTCCCTGGGTGGTTGATGGTGAAAGTTACACCACAATGCGCATGTGCTCAGGGTCACTGAACCACACACTGAAAAATAGTTAAAATGGTAGATTCTGTGTTATGTGTGTTCTGCTACAGTAAAAATAAAGACGTATATATTTTAGGTGGCATCACATAAAAAGACTGGCAACTGATTGCCCTAAAGAAATTCAAGTAGGTACTTTAGGCAAGTAATTCAGACAACCCCTTTGCAAGTCGGTAGCATTGCACCGGTCACCAGTTCACCTGCAAACTGGCCACTTAGACTTTATGGATAGACAAGCACACAGCAGCCGTGGCTCTCCAAGCCACGGGTGGATGGAACCCGTCGTTCCCGGCGCATTCACTCAGCCTCTTTACAGTTTTAACTGATTAACATCAACTTGCTTATCCCCCATCATCCGTTTAATAACTCAGCCTGTGCAGTGACCATGGATAAAGCGATCTTCATCGTGGAGATCAAAGAATTAATCAAGTGAAACAGTAAAGAATGATTTCAGAAATCTTTCGAGAGAGATAAATAACTCAAAGTGATGAATTATTGAATCTTTAGGGTATATTTATTTATCAGGCAGTCAAAATTTACCATTTTAAAGCCCATTCCATTTTTCTTTCATATTAGCTGGTTGTCTTCAAGGTGACATATAACCACCCAAACTGAATATGCAATCAACTTGTGCCTTAATACGAGAAAACTTGATAAATCTATTCTATTATGTTTAAAAACAAACCTTCATAGTGTTAAGTCTGAAAAAAATAAAAGCCCAAACAGTCTGTAATGAACAGGGAAAATCTGGCTTCATTCTGACCCAAAGTATTCTAGATAGTTTTATGATTGAATCCTATACCAAGAGAGGAAGCCCTTAGACCCTTGGACTTCAGACTCCTCCTGAAAGGAAGGAGGCTTCTTTCCAACACCCTAAGAGATGCTCTTGCAGTCACTTGCTGACTATTGCCCTGCTAAGAGCTCCACTGCACAGACCGTAGTCGAATTTAGCTCATGCCTTGTTCACCATCCCTGGCGGCTCAGATAGTAAAGAATCCGCCTGCAATTCAGGAGACCTGGGTTTGATTCCTGGGTCAGAAAGATCCCCTGGAGAAGAGAGTGGGAACCCACGCCAGTATTCTTGCCTGGAGAATTTCATGGGCAGAGGAGCCTGGCGGGATACAGTCTATAGGGTTGCAAAGAGCCGGATATTACTGAGTGACTAATACGCTCATTAACTATAACTTGACCCATTGGATGGTACAAGCTCAGGTCTCTACGATGACCAAGACTGTCCTCTAATGTCTCTTTTGAAGGAAGAGCTTACAAATAATTTAATTCCCCAGGTAAACATTCTACCACTTGGTTTAAGTGTCTCTAGTACCTTCAACCATTACTCACATCATGTTGTTGAAGAACTTCACCTTTTGGCAGCCCCCTACCCTCCTAGCCCTAGGATTTTCCCTTTCATTTTTTCCCCTTCATGTGGCTCTCCAAACTGGACACACTACTCCAGGTGTGAAATAAACAGCATAGAGCATAAAAGGAAAACATCAAGGAATTCACTTGTCTTCTCTGGATACTATACCTGAAGCAAAGAGCAGCCTGGAGAGTAAGGAAAAGTCCATTGCTCAAAAAAAAAAAAAAAAAAGAACAAACAACCCACAACAGCAGCCTTATAAAATGCACCTGTGACATTAGTCTGGGCCAGGGGTTAAGTTTCCCAGAAATAATAGGAGAGCCAACACAAATGAAGACCTCTCTTCCCTGGTCCAGTTGAGATATCTTCTCTTGAACTCAACCATTAAGAATCAAATTCCATGCTACCACATCCCATTTGCACACACAAACAGAATCTCTGCTATTGAGTCCAAGAAAGCACTATATACCTCCAGATGAAAATAAAACAAAGCAAAAAGCCGGAAAGCAGAGCAAATTCTGAACATCTGGTTGGGTATCGTATTCGTCAATGACTTGCAAATGTGGGAATAACAAGCGTATTTCATAGTGTGAGGAATACACTGATTATCCACCAGGGTCAACCACTGTGTCTACCAGTATCAATATCCCCATATCATTTTTTGATTAAAGAAAGTATACTGTTGGATAAATGTGCTGATTTTGGTTTCTAATGATATAGATCAGCAGTTAGATCTTCCTGCACAAATTTTTGAGATTGTATGATCTTGTGATCAGTTTTACTGGACACAATTAGAAAATTTTGAGAGCAATCATCCCTCCTTAAAAAATGTATCCTTCATCTAAGTTAACCTTCAGAATGACACAGCACTCCATCTTAAAGTAACACTTGGCACATGGACACCCTCCTCCCCAGACACGTGAAAAGAGGCATTTCATTTTTTATTCACGGAAACAGAATGGAATTGCAATAATTGCCCACATTCCATTCTCCAAATTGCAGATTTTTTGTGATTTTTATTAAGTGAAGGTATTTTGTGTACCTAATGAATCACTAAAACACTTGGTATGCTTCTTTGCAGGTTGCATAGAGCCGGCCAGGTACAGAGTCATAAATCACTCCAGCTGTTCCTCACTGAACCCTTTCCAGGGAGATGGGCTCCATCACCCACTTTCTCTCCTGACCCATTTTCAGAAGGACTTATGCTTCCATAAAAACGTGGCTATGGCTTGGTTCACATGGAAGCTTCAACATAGCAATACAGTAAAATTGCCTCCTAACTGAAAAGTACACAGCATTTCTCATCAAAAACAAACTTTCCTGACTCAAACCTGCACCCAGATCCTTGCTTTAAATGTCTCTGGGGGTGAAGGAATTCTAACCTAACAAAGAAAAAAATAATAATAAAATAAAACCACTGAGTGAAGAATTTAGCAACCATAAGCTTACTATTTTTGGCCATGCATGTGAAAAGAATATGACATATCCAAATGATAATATACCCAAATTTATGTCTTATCAATCTGAAGCTCAACATATCTTATCAAGCTTAACATATCTTATCATACTCCTTCTTAATATCCCAAAGCACGTTTATGTGAAAGTCCCATTAATAACAAAACCACCTGGACAAAGGTTGCTTTTGCCCCATCGCTATAAGACAAACGTTATGGCTCAGTGGATGGCCCAAAATGTGCGTGGGGGCCACGTCTTTACATTAGAAAAAGGTTCACACACGCACACGCACTCTCACACACTCACACACACACACCAGCCCTGCCTTTCACTCCAGTCAACGTAGACCCTTCAGCCTGCCAGGCAAGCGGAACCCCATCCGCTCGCCAATCAAGCATCGACTCCCCCACCTGACGGGAAGAGGCCAGGGGCCTTGCCCGCTTACACTTGTCTGTCAGCCGGTTGACAGCGTTGGGGGGGTCCCCCACCTTTCCCTGCCCATCAGCTCTGCTGACAGGTGCAGGCAGGCAAGGGACTCCCCCTCCACCCCATTCATGCCCATCAGCACATCTGATGGACATGGGCGGGTGAGGGGGGTCCCCAGAGCCTCTCAACCGTGGGGCAGGCGCATCTCTGCCCTGGGCGGGCGCAGGCCGGAGCCATCTCCCGGTTCTCGTTGACGGGTGGGGTGGGTTCCCAGCTGCTCCGGCATCTGACAGGGAGTTACGGTCCACCCGCGCTGATTCACAGTCACGCCTCTGCCGACTGTGGATCATGCCGGGTCCTCTCGGATGGACATTTAGACAGGCGTACACAGGGGTGGGGGGTAGGGACAGAGGCCGCAGAGTTAGGGAGGGAGGGGGCCCTGCTTGGTGGGCGTCTGGAGGGTCACAGGAGAGCATCCAAAGACAGGGAACGGGGTCCACGTACTGCAGCTGGGGCGGTCGCTGAGCGGACACTTGGGTTGTAAAGAGGAAGCCCTTACTGGGTTGAAGAGCGCCACTGTTTTCCTTGTGTGCCTTTTGTCACACAGAGACATGAAAAAGACGTCTTAGCGATGTAGAGGCCCCACAAGGGGCTGGAGGCGTGGTAGGGTCATCCCCGGTCATCCAAGTGAGTGTTTCTCAAACGAGCCCTACGTGCCTGGCCCTGAGCGGGCCAGCGCCCTCCCTGACGGGAGCCACACGCGCCTCGAGCCGCTGCCACCCTCCTGGGTGGACGCTGGGAGGACCGTCAGAGAGCCTCCGGGGGCACCAGGCTCCTCCTACTGCCCGAGGCGTGAGGCTCCGCGACCGTCTGTTTCCACACACTAATAGCGCCATGTGGAAATTTAATAGAACCATTCATAATTTATGACATTAAACAAGAAACGGCATTATTTTATTAGTCTTTAAAACCAGTGTGGTTGCTTGTAGTAGTCTGGGCTGCAGGCACGGTTTGACCACAGTCGACCGATTCAAACACTGAACACACTCCCCACCCCTGCCACTAATACCAAGTTTCATATAAAGGGAAGAAAAACAACAAAACGAAACCCCAAGTCAACAAAAATCATGTTTTCATAGGCCAAAGAGCTCGTCTCTTTTAGTAAGCTTCCTCTCAATGTCTCACTTCAATTTTCCTACTTTAACCTCAGCTTTCAATTAAATGGACAAGGGACTTTCAACACAAGGGCCCAGTGAAGAAAATATTTTTAACAGGCACGCGGATGCCTCAGCCTCCACCCAGCAGGAAAACGATGCCCCCACAACAGCCACACGAGCGTCTGCGACCACGGCGAGGTGAGAAAGGGCGCTGGGGTGGGGGGGTTGCCCGGGATGCTGGCCTTCTGCCAAGGCAGACCACACGGGCGCGTTCAGGGTGATTTCTACACGCGACAACTTTCCCTTTTCAATGTCCAAGGGCTTTGGCTCGTTGCTTTCCTGAATCTCAGAGCAGCCTGGCCAGATGCTCAGTGGAGGGCGGCTCAGACTGTGGCCAGAGTCAACATCCCCACCGGCTACTGTGACTGCCTGCCCTGCCGAGCATCTGCCATCCGCAGCGCCCACCTCCGCTCCGCGTGCTCCACGTGGGCCCTGACACACACCGAGCAGACCCAGAGAGAAGTCATCCCTGAGCCCGCTGACTTTCCAGTGCAAGTTAAAATAGCAGAGCCCTTTCAGGGAAGCTGCTTACACAGATGTGTTTGCTAAGAAGGTTTTCTGAAGAAATGGGCCTGGTGTGGATTCTGATGGCTGCTCAGCAGAAGTCAGCAGGAACTGGCAACCTACTCCACGATCCTTGCCTGGAGAATCCCACGGACAGAGGAGGCTGGCGGGCTGCAGTCCCTGGGGTCGCGAACACTCGGACATGATTGAGCCCTTGCGTATGTATGTACAGCAGAAGTAGGTGCAGTGTGCCGAGGCTACGGACACCTAGATCAAGAAGAGAACCCACGAGTGATGATGTACCGCTTTCAGAATATTCAGCTCAAAAACAGCCAGTTGGATATGAAGAGCTTGAAAATGGTGGACTCAAACTTTGTGCCATGGAAGCCTCTGGGTTGTCCCCTCCACGCCTGTGGGAGTCAGCAGAAAGCTGGACTGCTGGAGATAAGTGTTTTCCTCTTTTTCTCATGTCACTGACTTAGAATAGACAGGGATGAATTAAATGGACTTAGACCGGGCTTCCTGAGGCCAGGCAGCAGGCTGCTGGTCTCCGGACACGTGCTGCCTTTGAATGCATGTGCCCCTCTTTGAAGGATAAATGACACTCTAAAGCTTGAGATATAGAACTAGCTGTCAGTTATTTACATCTGCAGTCTGATTCACTTCACTGAAATCATTTAATCATATTGTAGCTCACTGAGCCAGACAAGAGCTTTGCAAAATCGTCTGATTTTGCCCCAGCCTTGGGAAAGAAAAAGCACTGCTATACCCTGAGATGAGAAAAGGAGAGCCAGAAAGAGAAGTTTTCTGCACAAAAAATTGCATAGCCGGTACAAGGGAAGACTCAGGACTCTGCCTCCTGTGCTTTCGACAGGTGGAGAGTGGACAGCAGACAGTGAGGGGGCACGGGGGAGACTGGGGAAGCACCGCTGTCTTCACTCACCAGTTAATGCTGCTCCTAAGTCGCTTCAGCCGTGTCTGACTCTGCGACCCCATAGACAGCAGGCCACCAGGCTCCTCTGTCCTTGGGATTCTGGGAGAAGGAAACAACTGAGAGTTCACAGTGAAGCACAGAAGACTACAGCCACCTTAAAAAAAAAAAAAGAAAGAGGAGAAACAGAGATTTTCCAGGGCCTATTTCTAAAAACTAGTGGTAGTAGTTCAGTGTTAGTTGCTAAGTGGTGTCTGACTCCGTGTGGCGGCATGTACTGCAGGCCGCCAGGCTCCTCTGCCCATGGGATTCTTCAGGGAAGAATACTGGAGTGGGTAGCCTTTCCCTTCTCCAGCGGATCTTCCAACCCAGGGATCAAACCCAGGTCTCCTGCATTGCAGGCAGATTCTTTACTGTCTGAGCCACCAAGAAAGTCCACTTCTAAAAGTTAACATGACCTAGTGTTTAAACTCTTATTGGTGGACTTCTTAGATTCCTATGCAGTGCTGACAACTAGGAGATTCTTAGCCTGCAGGGCGAATCTCAGCCCCCCAGGTAGACCACCCACTAAAACTGACACTTTTAAAATCATCATAAAACACTGTGATTCCATCTGGTAAGACTGCTTTGGAAACGGGCAACATTTCTGAACTGAATCCAAACCGTCATTTATCTTCAAACAACACAACCTATAAATGTCCTTCTACTTTTGTTGCGAGTCTAAGGTTTCCATCCATTCTCCTTGTGGACTGTTGGAATTTTCAATTTACATCAAAATGGCCTGAGATTCACAGCACTGTCTGTCTTCCCCACATCAAAGCTCTGTTGCAGTTCAATCCTGGCTGGGTTAAGTCTTTCATACTCTAGTTAATAGTCAATTTTTGCAAAATGATAAAGGAAGCTTATAGTCATATGATTTAAATGTCTCTAAATGAAAATTGAAAGTAGATTCTTAAGAACCATCACTGATAACTCTTTCATGGAGCTATTGGGCAGAAGATAGTAATAGATTTCCTGCTGCGGAAGCTCCCAGTAAGGAATTAAAAAACGCTAAAGACCGCTGCATGTAAGGATTCCTAAATTCAGACATGGGCCCAACTTCTGAATAACTGACATGAACCCAGTGCTTCCCATGTGGTGCATTTAAACATCAAAGGGGGGACCCCAGGTGTGTTCCAAGAAGTACACTATTTTGTGGCATGTCAATACATTCTTGGGGTTTTCTCCATGGCTCAGCAATAAAGAATCTGCCTGAAATGCAGGAGACAGAGGCAGGCGATGTGGGTTCGTGGATTGGGAAGATCCCCTGGAGACAGAAATGGCAGCCCACTTCAGTATTCTTGCCTGGAAAATTGCATGGACAGAGGAGCCTGGCAGACTACAGCCCATGGGATCACAAAGAGTCAGATACGACTGAGCAAGTCGAATACATTCTTATATTAGAAAGCATTCTATTGTCAAAGGAGAATGGGCAAAGAGTAGCTTAGCGAAACTCTTTAGACTGACTTTCTACAGGAATTCTCAACCTCATCACATGGCCCTGGATTCTCTGTGTTCCTCAATGTCTCATGAGTTCTAGAGCTTGTGCCTTGATAAAAGGCTGTGTTTTATTTTACTCCAGGTTTAAAACAACTTGGACCAAAGGAAGAGAAAAAAAAAACTCACCAAGCAACTACTAGTTCCACAAATCCAACAAGTTGTCAGTTATCAAATGCACATTCATGTAAGGACTCTGCACATATTTCTGGACCCACCCAATCTCTTTGGAAGGACGGTGATTATTAAAAGTCACAGGTAGCCTGACCAGATTTACACAAATGCAGATGATATCCAAATATCAATTAATGCTTGGCCATGGTTTTGTCAAATTTCCATGTGCATCTGTAACAAAATAAGGCATTTGAATTTTGAGTGAAATGAGATTTTAGTAAGAAAGGCATGCATTCCAATATAAACATTTGACATATTAATAAAAAGCCTTGGACGTTGGGGAGTTCCTACCACAGGAAAGTTTTCTTTGGAGCAGGGCCCCGGCTGGATTTCTGTCTCCCTGGCCGCCGTGTTGGCCCCTGAGAGTGGAGGACGAGTGTCCGAGACCAGGCCTGGCCCCAGGCGTGAGCGTGGCAGCGGCCCGCTCCCTGTCTCCTGCTTCCTCACTGTGACGCCGGTACCATCCTGCCCCACCGTCCCTGGGACCATCGCAGGGCCCATCATCCCTGTGAGGTCTCCCGGGCCGCCCCACGTGTCTGGCGTCGCCCCTCAGTGCTACCGCCCTGCGAGGAACACAGCTGGTCACCCACACATGTGGCCAGGATGAGGGGGCCAGTGGGAGGGCAGGTGGTAACTTTGCTATAGCCTCCAGCTCGCAGTCAATGCTCACACCCCAGCCTTTCTCCTCCTCTCCCGGCAGGACTGTTTCCCTTTCTACCTGGCCTCTGAGTGTCGTTTGTGCGAGGCTGGGGCAAGACTGTGGCTCTGCCCACCCTACTTCCTCTCCAAGGCCACACAGGTGGGTGCTGCGGGCTTCCAGGCTGCAGCCACGGAAAAGAACCCCTGCCCTGGGCACCGTCATCAGCACACGCATCAACGCATCATGATGGCACCAGCTGAACCCAGGAGCCCCCCAGTGAGGCTCCAGGATGTCCACACTTCAGTGGAAGGCCTCATGGACTGTAGCCCGTCAGGCTCTGTGTCCATGGGATTCTCCAGGCAAGAACACTGGAGTAGGTTGCCATTTCCTTCTCCAGGGGGTCTTCCCAACCCAGCAATTGAACCCATGTCTCTTGTTTGTCTCATTCACTGGCAAGCTGATGAATTTATGTCCCTGCAAAGTTTGCCTCTGAGACACGACCTGAGGCAAAGGACCTCAGAGTTTCAGGATCTGAGTTTAAGACACTTTGTCTGGGGCCACTCCAGACCCCAGATGTTGCAGTGATGCTCAGGGGAGGAAAGAACAGAGGAAACCCTGCTCTGCACTGGAGACCCCAAAAGGCTTGACTCCTCACCATCCCACCCTGGAGCAGTCTTGTGGATTTCTGACATTCAGGAAAGCTTCCGAGCAAAGGGACCCTTAGAGGAGAGAATTTCCCAGCTGCCCTTGCTCCTGATGAGGAATGCTAGGATGTATCTTCTCTTCCCCTGGGGACCTGCTGCCTTCACGTCCCTGCAAACAAAGGCATCACCATCGATACTGGCACCTCCTGGGACAAGAGTGCTTTGGGGGAAAGCAGGACTGTGGCCACCTCTCTTGGACTTCCTTTATTTACTGAGCTCTGAGTTTTGGCAACATTATTCTTTAGTCCTTGAGGAAGTAATTCACTCTCGCCCTTAGAACGCTGTAAGTAGTCGATAATCCATTATTACAGTAAGCCGTTCACTCTCACAGTAATTATCTAATAACCCCTTATAAAAGACCGTGGCTTCCTAATCTGTTTATAATTATCATTTCAATGATCCCACACATTAATGTCTGACCTTCAGCAACTCTGACCTGATCTTAATTAACTCTAATATCAAATCATCGCTACACGAGAAACTAGCCATGACCAAATGAATGAACCCCAGGTACAGTTAATTTCTGGAGCAATTATCTTTTCATGTAGGGAGATTTAAATGATTATCTGCACAATTTCACACAGTTTTATGTAATTCTGTGACATTATAAATTCTGTTTTAAATCATATTTCAAAGGCAGGGCTCCAGATTCTGGTTTGTCTAGCATTCTCAAGCACTTGGCTAAAACATCACACACCACCCCTGTGTAATGCAGGCTGCTTTTTGTGTGGTCGCTTTCAATTATCAACAAACAACAAAACACAGCTTGCAACGTGATATGCTACAGTCAAACAAATAACCCATACAGATAGGTAATCTAAGAGGAAACGCCATCCAGCTAAAATTGTCAGAAGAAATGGCCCCACTGTGCAGAAATACTGAAAGCAACTGATAATTTAATAGATGTAAAATACTAGAAAATTTAAAGTGTATGTCAATATACACAGTGTGTTTATGAAGCGGTATAGATTAGAAAACATGTATTGTCTCAGCAAAGCCTGGAGGAGATGCAACTAAGGGAAATACCTGCAGCTAGAGTTGAACTTTATCTCAAACCCAGAGATACACGTGGGCATGTCTGAGTCAGTAAACTTCCAACTTCCCCAGTGAAGTTCTCCGTATTACACCAGCTTCCCAAAGTTCATGCATTTTCACAGTCATCCAGCTGACTTTAGGGGTAAGCAGACATACGGGCAATATTGCAGAAATGTTCTAGGTGTAAACAAGGCCTTGGAAAGAGATGCAGTTGGAAAGCTTAGCTTAGCATCTTCTCTGGGCTTCCCTGCTGGCTCACATGGTAAAGAGTCCACCTACAATGCAGGAGACCCAGATTTGATTCCTGGGTGGGGAAGACCCCCTGGAGAAGGAAATGACAACCCACTCCAGTAGTCTTGCCTGGAGAATCCCATGGACAGAGGAACCTGGAGGGTTATAGTCCGTGGGGTCACAAAGAGTCGGACACCACTGAGTGACTAACACGTTCACATCAGCATTTTCTCTGGTGTCAGAAATTGGGGATAAATTGATCAAACGGTAAATTTCAATAAGAATCATCAGCATTTCCTGTTCTTGGCCATGATTTATCAGGCTTGCACATTAAGCCTTCCTGGTCAAAGTTCTAATAACACCCAGCATGTCATCCCAGATACTAAAAGGTTTGTCTCAGCCATCAGCTACAGCAAACAGCCTGAGGGGGGCGATTGACTTCGTGAGTAATTTGGCTGGAGGAAGGTGTCCCAGGAGCCACCCTGAAGGATCAGCCATGCGGCCAGGAGGCATATTCACTTCCTGACACAAACTCTGCTCCTTCTCAGAGATACTACTGGAAGAAATGGAAAGAGAAGACCTAACCTAACATCAAAGCACTTAGCGGTGGCAGGATGAGGAGACAGCTTCTTTATAAATTACAAATTACTTGAGCAGTGTAAGTTGAAAATAAGTTTAAATCACTGCGTCCTGTAGGTCTGTGGAAGTTAATACATGCGTCCAAAGAAGAAGGGTGACTTCATTGAGTACATCTCCAGGTGTAAACACGGTCTTCATCAGCGCTTCACAGGGAGGGTGGAAGGAAGCCACGGAGACCTCTGATTCATCGTAGTTGGTCCACACTGTCACCCTGGAGACCAGGGCTGGTAGCCCAGGCCCAGGACTCTTCTGAGACACAACTGGGTTCAAGCCCAGCAGTGGCTTTGGATGATGACCCAACCAGAACCTTCTCCCAAGTTCTACTCTGAGATGCCTGTCATTGTGGCAATGGCATCTATTGTCTTTAAGTTCAAAACTTTGTAAATGCATGGAGATAGCAGGTATTGCAAGGGATAAAATCATTGTTGTTGTTCAACTGCAAAGTTGTGTCCAGCTCTTCGTGACCCCATGGACTGCAGCATGTCAGGCTTCCCTGTCCTTCACCATCTCCTAGAGTTTGCTCAAACTCTGTCCGTTGAGTCGGTGATAACATCCAACCATCTCATCCTCTGTTACCCCCTTCTCCTGCCCTCAATCTTTCCCAGCATCAGGGTGTTTTCCAATGAATCAGCTCTTTGCATGAAATCATTTAAAGATTTCAAATCTTCAAATGGTTCTCATTCTGCACACCCGTTAATTCCAAAACAGGCTTAGAAATGACTGTGTCCCAAGTGTAAGGAACGGTGCTCTTTATATCAACACAAGCTCACTGCCTTCTCCTCTCCCTCCTCGTCCTCCGGAAACCATTTGAGGGGTTTTGGTGTCTGAGCTCCTTTTCTGTGCTGAGTTGAAAATTCAAGGGTCTTTACACCAATTGCTTCTCTCCTTCAAAGAAAACCCTTGGGCCTACACTCTCTTTTTTAATCACTGATGCTCCTAAAGTTAACTACATAGTTATCCGTAGGATGTGACATTGGGTTTTATTAATTTAGCTATTTAAGAAAAGCTTCTGTGATGGTGAAGATAGTCACTTCCTAACACAAGACCCTGGTCCCACCCACTGACTTTCCATAAGGCCCAGAGCGAACCAGGCGACAGCTCCTCACCCTCGAGGGGGACCTGTGCTGCCACGTAGACACCACATACGTGTTTGGGGGCAAGTGGGGGCAGGGTCTGCTCTGGGTGTGGCCTCTGCACTCCTGTCCTGGCTGGTCCAGGACAGATCCGCCATCACCGCAGCAGCATTGTCGCGTGCCCTCAGGGCTGCTTCACTGGGGGAGCTTTTGCCCCAAGGACGTGGCTGATGCACAGGACAGGCTGTGTTCCATGTCCGCTACAGAGTAAGGCTGTTCAGTGCAGGGAATGTGGACTGCACGGAGGGCCAGGGCCACCCAGGACAGCTCCTGCTGAAGGGGTGTGGATAACGGCAGCACCTCTGGTCCACTCTGGCCAGGCCTGGACTACCCGATAAGAAGACCCTCACAGCGGGGACTCCTTGCATTGGCCGACCTGCCCCGGGCAGTGGTCAGCAGCCCTGGGCATGCGAGGACCCACATGTGCAGCCAGGAGCCCTCCTGATGCTCGGGGGCTTTGCTGGTCCATGCTAATCTGATGTGGCTTCTGCTTTCATTTATTTGTTCATATTTTTATTTTCGCATCCCTGAATTTGCAAATTTAAGCAGGGCTCAGTAACCCTTGTTGAAAAATAAATTTTTTTAGTAAAACCAACAGCATTGAAGTTTCCTACAGTGATTGTAAACCTGTCTTTTTCTTTTTTTCTTTGGTTTTGCTATTCCTGAAATTTGGGGCTATATTATTAGGTATATACTAATAAAACTAGCAAGATAAAAATTCAGCAAGGGTTTAGATGGTTCGAATAGTTGAATGGGCTTCCCTAGAGGCTCAGATGGTAAAGAATCTTCCTGCAATGCTGGAGACCTGGGTTCCATCCCTGGGTCAGGAAGATCCCCAGGAGAAGGGAATGGCTACCCACTCCAGTGTTCTTGCCTGGAGAACCCCATGGACAGAGGAGCAGGGCAGGTTACAGTCTATGGGGTCATAGGAGTCAGACATGACTAAGCAGCTAACAATTTAACGCTTTTAGATTATTTGAATGGTTAGATGATTTACAAAATTGGTAGAATAAGCATACTAAACTCAAGAAAAACAGGATAACATGTTTTTCAAATGCACACAAAATATTTACCATTTTATAGAATTGAGATAATTTAAAGCACATATTCTTACCATAGTAG